TCTCCTCCCTGATCCTCTCCTCCCTGATCTTCTCCTCCCTGATCTCTCCTCCCTGATTTCGTTTTTCTCTGACTCATCTCTATAAAAGCCCCCTGTTCCTGCTGATGGGCAGAGTCACGGCCTTTGGGACAGGAGTCCCCTGTGTTTCTCTTTTGCTAGCAAAGCAGTAACAGTCATTTCCCTTCTTCTCAAACCCGTGTTCTTGTTTTGGATTCGCATCCAGGACAAGGAAGGACTGAGCTTTCAGCCACAGATTCAGAAAGCCCAGGTAGCAAAGAGGCAGCAGGTGATCACGTTTGACCTCAGTGCTTCTGATGTCATAAAGTCCCCCTCTGAGGGCCTATGTGGGTGGCCTGGGACAGTGGTGGCAGAAGAGTGTAATAGCCTAGGGGCAGGGGACTCCAGTCTCCTGTCTCTCCCCCTGGAGCAGATGAGTGAGTGCAGGGCATTGGTCTCCTGATCACCCCTAGCGTGGGTCGAAGTCACCAGGAGTCTGTCTTGCCACTGTATACTCCATGTCTGTTAATAGAGCTGCTGACTTTTTATGATTATAGCTATATAATTTAAAAACAAATAGCCCTTTAAAGAAGGCTATCAGTACGGCTGTGTGTGCTTTTCTTTCAAGCCACATGGGATTAGCTGCTTGTCAGGCTTACAGCTTTGCATCCACAGGGTTTCATTCACGTCCCAGCCACACTTAGCAGAGGCTGTCTGACCTGGTGCCACGAGTGTATCTTCTGTTGTACCTTCTGCCTGTTCATCCTTCCCACTGCACCCACTCTCCCAGGCTCCCTGAGGGTCTGCTGAAGCAGTGCACTCGCTCAGAACGCAGGTGACCTCAAGGAAGCTTGGCCTTGCCCCAAACTTCCAGATTTCTGCAATCAACCAATTGAATACCAAGAAATAGATGCAGGAGGCTCAGATCTGCCCCTAACCAAGAGCAGCTGCCTTCTCCAAATGACAATCACCTGAAGCCTAGGCGAATGGAAAAACTTTATCAAATCCTTTTGGACGGCCGAGGGTCTCAATGTCTTTTCTTTTCTTTCCCTAGGTGTAACTCCTTCATTGAAAATTCCTCAGCTCTCAAGAAACCCCAGACCAAGTTGAAGAAAATGCACAATTTAGGACACAAAAACAACAATCCTCCCAAAGAGCCCCAGCCTACAAGGGTGGAAGAGGTCTACAGGGCCCTGAAAAAGGGGCTCAGGTAAGAGACAGGTCCTGGTCAGGCACTTTCCCTTCTAACATGACGGGAGGAAAGCTAGCCTATGAGGTCACTTCCGGAAGGCTCTATCTGTAATAGGTGTTTTATTCTTCACTCTAAAGAATAAAGGGGAGCTAGAATGAGTCCCGAGGATGTGAAGCCTGTTGCAGCTCACCTCCTCCACGCCGAAGGAGACCTGGAGCGGTCGTCCATCAGAGATAGCCCCAGTTAGTGTTGGTTTCCACTCAACCATGGCGCTCAGGCTTATCCACTCTAGAGACGTGGCAGAGAGGTCTTCCAACGTCCCGGAGCACATTGCAGGGACTCTTGGCCCAGAGTGAGACCTTTCAGGCCTGTGATGAGGCATCCAAGTCAGCGTTGTGTTTAGCAACAAAATTCTGAGAATCCGGACCCATTCCCCGGGAGTCTTCCCCTTCCCTCCCTAGGGGGTTTTCATTTCTGGACTTTCGGACACGCAGGGGCCTTCCTTTCTGATAATCTGGACAGTATGGGATACAATTGCTAAAGCTTTATAAAGACTAGGAAAGTACGGCGCCCCCTGACCCACCATGTCCAGATGGATTTTTCCCCAGTGCTGCAGATGGAACCCAGGGCCTGATGCATGCTAGGCCAGCACTCACCACTGAGCCACGCCCCAGCCAAGTTCAGGTTCTTGACCTCCAGGCAGCAGGAAAAGGTCAGCGGCCACAGCGGTCATCCACCAGTGACAGTTCACGGTGATGTCTTGTCTTTGCAGTGAATACCTGGATGTTCACCAGACAGAGCTGGACAAGCTAACGACTCAGCTAAGAGACATGAAGAGAAACTCGCGCCTGGTAGGTGCACCCAGTCCTGTGGAAGTTGCCACCATGGGGTTCTGGTTTGGCTTCTTCGTCCTGGATAGGGAGGGAGGAGCATTGACAAACACCAGATCCAAGGGGCAAAGTGCCATCTGCATTGTCCTGTGTGTCTCAAAAGGAAGAAGAGGACTTTCTTCTTCATGATCTATTTTTAACACTTCTCAGTATTTTCCTAGCATGTTGGTAACAAGGAACACCGTTTAGGAGAAATTGCCAAAATCCCTCCATCTCCCAAATACTATAAGGAAAGGAAAACTTGGAGTTTTCCTGGCACAGTGTTAGCACATTCATAATTCAGGAACTAGAACATTTACTTTATCTCCAATTAAAAAGAAAAAATGGCTCAGTGGTGACAGGGAAGGAGTGAGTCTCCAGGGGGTGACTGGGTTGAGAAGTCAGAGGAGTCCGCAGGCTGGTCCACTGAACCCCGAGCTGGAACTTCCTGAATCCCAGTGAATCTGTGAGCGCGCGTCTGCTTGGAGAGGGATTCCTAACGCCTGCACTATTGTAAAAGATTCTGTCCACTGCTAGACGCTGTTATACCTTAATGTTGGAAGGCATCAGAGAACCTGAGAAAAGACCACGGGTACCTCGGAGGTGCGGCTTAGACATGGAAAGACTTTTGTCCTTCACCTTTTTAGGAGAGGGGCTAAAATGTTGATTGTCCTTTTCAAAGACTCCCAGGTCAAAGGCTTTACCAAGATTAAGTGGTTTTATTTTCTACTAGTGTTGCATAAATCACCTCAAATGTGGGACTCCCCATAGGATGACCTTCACCCCTTGTGGATGCCCTGGAGTATCCAAGATGGCGGCCAATGATCCTCCTAGGGAACAGTGGTGAATGGGAGGAGGGGCTTGTGCCAGGACCTCAGGTGCCATAAAAAGCCTTCAGCTGGAGGACCTAGGGCTGGAGCACCAATTATACTGTGATGTTGTGAGCTCACAGGAAATGAGCTTTCGTGAAAAACAATTAGTGAAAAGCATTATCTCCACCCTCAGGAATGCTTCTTAAGTACCAGTTTTATTTGTCCAAACAGCAAGGCAAGTATCTTTCCAACATGTATACCACTGCTACATTTCATGTTAACATCACTTTTTATTCTTGTTAATGTTTTTGTGGTGTTGGGGATGAAACCCAGGGCTCCCACATGTTAGGCAAGTGCTGTACCACTGAACTGCACCCCAGCCTAACATCATTCATTTTTAAAAACTTTAAAAAGGGACATGAATTCACATACCCTCAATGCTTGGGAGAGGAATGCTGAAGGCAAAAGAAAACCCTAAATCCCCCAGTGGGCAGAGAGAACTGGGTGCAGTTTGGGGACACAGAGGGCACATAAATATCCACTCTTTAAAGTACTCTTACCAACATTTAAAATAATTGGATTTTTATCTCTTTTAAAGCTAATGTCAAAATTTCAGTAAAATTTTGCGGGACTGATCATTATATTTCACAGATAATGTGAAAATGCAGGTGAAACTATTGTATTAGTGTTGGTAACATTTTTGAGGAAGATATACTTTAATCCACATACTCTTTGTTTGTTTGTATTTTAGGGTGTGCTGTATGACTTAGACAAGGTAAGTTATTCTGTGTTGGGGTGTTTTTGAAAGATAAAACTGAGTCCTTGACTAGATATTCATACGAGAGACTCCAAGAGCTATAGAATCTTACAGAACCAAGGATCTTTCTAATCTTGGAAAAATTCATGCTTTTGTCTAATGAGGGTAATAAATAAACACCATGATCTGCAGATTCAACGAAGTGTTCAAGGTCATTTCCATAGAAATGCTGCTGGATGGTAGGGTCTCCCACTGTTTGGATAAGTTTGAGGACTTCTGAAGTGTTTGGAGCTCCTCAGCTGAACCATCTTTAAATATTATCTATCATACTTGATCATATCTCAGACTTCTTTGATTAAAAAATGCAACATTAATTTATGTGCCACTAAGAAAATAAAAATGAATGACTCCAGTTAAACTTAGACAGTTCTTTCTTTTCACTTAAAATCTGTGTCTTGTCCTAACTGTCAGAACTCTTTTTTATGGCTATTTAGACATGAATTTCTTACTTTCTTTCCTTTAAGCTATATATGGAATTGCTCTCTGGCCACACCTTTCTGTGTACACAATAATTTTATTTCTATGCTGAATCACAGCAAATTCTTTCTGAAGATATTTAAGGACAATTAAATTCAATGCGTAGGAAAACAATAACATCTACAACTCAGAGGTGACACACGTAGCGCTGATTATCTGTGAGCACACACAGGCAGTGGCCTGCATCGGCCAGTGGAAATCATGAAGTGCTTCCCAACTTCCTAGATGCTAAACTATGAAGGGGAAAATCCCAGTGTGGAACACAGAGAATACATTATGAGAATATTTGAATATAGTCCAACTTGACACTGTTCTGCCAGAAATCCAATACTGTCCATGGTTTGCCCTCCCTGACATTAAACACAAGGGTCACAATAATTAACCCAACTCCATCTTACAACATTTGATATTTTGAAAAATATTTTTCAAATTGATATTAAAGCATCTCTAAATAGCAACTAAAATAGGAGAGGGGAAATGTTTACCATCAACTGTTTTTTTTTTTTTTCTTCATAAGATAACAAAAAGAAATATTCACACAAACCTAAATCAATTGAATTGTGATTGACTATACTTTTTCAAACTTCTTTTAATTCCAGCAAATTAAAACGATCGAGAGATACATGAGACGCCTGGAGTTTCACATTAGTAAGGTAATTGAAGTTCCTCTTGTCTTTGCTCCTGGTTTTCAGCTCTCGGTTACTGATCAATACACCTTTGGCCTGAGTGTAACATCTAGTCCAAGGAGAATTTCTTACCCAATTGACTCCCAGCAGACAGGGAGGGGAAATAGGAGCCCAGAGCGTGACAGCCCAGCACAGTTTGGCTCTGCTGCTATCCTGGTCTCTCCTGAAGGCCTGCTTCCTGTGTGGCAACCAAGGCTGGTGGAGGACTTGTGGGCTCCGGGTGGTGTGCCTTGAGATGAGAGTGGCCCAAACGGGCCCCAGCAAAAACTTTGCCCTCTGGTCCCACATACAGCTTGGCATCCCGTGAACTCCTTCCTGAAGACCTTTCAGTTATGTAAAGACAGCTGTCTATGCCCTGACATCCGGCCCTGAACCCCATAAATACTTCTCTGGTGGTGCACCGGGTCTAGTGTGATGGACAGGACGATCACCCTGTGTTCTGGACGCGCTGAGGAATTATCAGTGCCAGTGAGGAGCTTCCCCTTTGGGGACATATCAAGCCGCCAGCAATTTCCATTTCCACCCACGCTCATCAGCCTCTCCTACCAGTGCAAGGCCTGGAGGGTCTCAGCACATCTCCCTACTAGAAGTCAGAGCCTTGGACTCTGGCCCTTCCCACTCACGCTGTTGCTGTGTGCACCTTGCCTTTCCTCCCAGTGAAATGGGGCTGGGGAAGGACCCGTATCCAGTCTAGCTGATCCTCGGGATCTTTTTGTCTTGAAACCTGAATATGATGTTTATGTACGTATTACTGTCTTTATAAAGTACTTTTGCCACTTTGAAAGATACTTATAGCCTAGGAAAATCTGAAGTTGCTTTTATTTCTGCCAAACTCAATAAATAAAACAATGGCATCCATGAGAAGGGACCTGCCGGGCTACATCAGAAGAGGTACCCACACACCATTTTTAGAAGTTGTCTGGGGATCTCCAGCATCAGAACAGTCCATGGTGTTCATGTAACCTATCAGATTGCTGGCCCAGCCCCAACCTCCGGAACCAGAATGGGCCTGGGGTGTCTCAGCAGGAAAGCCTTAGCTTAGATTTAAAGCACAGTAACCATGCTCTGTGTGCATCACCCACCAAGAGATCTGAGCAGTTCCCTCTGGTCGGAGATGAGTCCACCGGCCTGGAAGACTGAAGACTGCTGCCATTTCTTCTTTTGGGCATGTCGTTCTGGGGATTGAACCCAGGGCTTTGTGCACGTGAGGCAAGCACTTTACCAACTGAGCTAGATCCCCAGCCCAACTGGAGACTATTCCGAGACTAGGAGTTCCTCCAGCACAGATGAATGAGTCCTTGGACTCAGTAGCAACAGAGAGTGACCTTGAGCTGACACGCGGTCCTTCCCACAGTCGCCTTTCAGGGTAAAGCACAGTTGCCGTCCCATTTCAGCTTCTCATCTGGGGCATCAGCCACCTCTTTGAGAAAACAAAGTTCGTACTGGAATGAAAATTCCAATGGCGTAGGTAGGCCATTCCTCCCGGGAGCGCAGGCTTCCTTGTTTCTGCCCAGGCCCCGTGGTCCTGTTCTCTGCCTGACCACGCCCGGAGTGACTGTGGCTGGGTGGTGCTGGTGACTGAAGACAGTGCAGGACTATAGACATTGTCAGGAATAACTAGGACACATTCCAGCCTCAGCCCGGCGGGTGCACTCCGACATCTGTCCAGGGCTGTCCTCTGTGAGAAGGGCTGTGTGGCTGCACCCCTGGCCTCTGTCCACTCTGTGCCAGTAGATGCCCAGGGTCAAGCCTCCCTAGGCTGATGGAGAATCACTGCCTTTGAAGTATGAGGTATTGTCAGGTGTGTCTGGTGAATGTGATGAGCCGATTTAAGAGGGAGGGTCTATTACTACGAGGACGTGTAGAAGGGGGGTGTTCATTTTCATTTTTTCGTATTTTTAAAATTATGGTGTGATTTGTATACAAGAGTTCCCAGTTCTCATGGGTTTTATTTAACAAGTTTTAACAATTAAATTCTTATCTTAAACCACTTAATAAATTTATGTTTTTTCTAATTACTGAGCCAAGACATCACACAAAAAAAATTTGTTATCAATAAATAGCCTGAAGTACTTTTTTCAAAAAAATGCTGATGGGTAAAGTCACCTTCAGATAAGTAGGAGGTGTGTATACAAGAGTTTTCACCCCAGATTGAAGCTGAAACCTCTTCCACAGATGGAGCTGCCTGTCCCAGTGGACCAGCTCTCTGAGTCCACTCCAGACCATGAGAGCCCACCCCAAAAGGCAGGGTTGTGTAACTTGATGGCAGGATCAGAGTGAAATCTGTTTTGAGACAGAAAACGGATCACAGCGGTAGAAGTACAAGTGACTGGTGTCTGTGGAAAGGAATAACAGAAACCCAGAGCACCTTAGGCCCATCCTGGTGACCCGTGTGACTTCTCCCAGGCCGGACAGCGATTCACGTGTCTGCCTTCCTGCTCGCACTCTGCAGGTGGACGAGCTCTACGAGGCCTACTGCATCCAGCGACGTCTCCAGGACGGCGCCAGCAAAATGAAGCAGGCCTTCGCAGTGTCGCCCGCCAGCAGAGCCGCACGGGAGAGTCTGTCGGAGATCAGCCGGAGCTACAAGGAGTACACGGAGGTATGTGTACCGCTCACCTGCTTGCTGGCCGGCCCCACCTGGCCTGACCCCACCCTGGGCAAACAGGGACACACACTCATTCCACTCTCGAGAGATCGGTGTCATGGTCAGCCTGAAAATAGAAAATACATGCTAGTGAGGCAATAGTGGAATCGTTCAAAACAAACAGGCCACAGTGCTCTGATTTTTGTCACTTAAATGCACTTCCAAATATTCTAGTATAGAGTCCAACCTAGCTTTACCCTGTTGAAGAGCCATTGTGGCTAAGGTGGCTACTCTGGGGGTCAGCGCTGGCCATCAGTAATCCTCCTGCCTGCAACTCTGTGTGTGAGAGGGACTTTTATCTCCAAGGAGACAAGATAAAGAGCCGTGAACAGAAGTGTGCTGTTGTGAGGTCCTGGTTGACAGTCTCTGGGGCCAGGCCCTCCTGGGGTCACCTGATACCAATGTCCTTGATGAAGTGGCTGAATTATTAAAGCTGCACTTCTCACTATCCCTTGGGCCTTTATTCAGAGATCCGATTTCATGAATGAAGTCATCGCCTGGCCTGACCAGGGCGTGTTGGACAAGCCCCAGGGCTGGGCATCTGCTTCAGGATGGCTTTGTGCACACCCTGCCCACTGCCTCGTCTGAACCACGATTCTCTCTCCACAGAGTCTAAAACAGTTCACTTCTTACCTAAACTTTCCTTTTCAAAATAATGTTTTTAATGCATAAATAGGATAGGAATTCAAAGAATAAAATTATACATTGAAATAACTATTTCCATATTGTCAATACAGTTGTCACAATATTTTTAAAGTCAAATGTGTGGTATAGTGTGGTGCTACTACTCTATTAATATTAAGAGCTAGTAAGATTTCAAGGCAGGAAAAAATATATATGGTTTCTTAAAGTTATCTGTAAGACATGATGTGACACCAACTTGTGATTGCTGTCTCGGTGTCAAGGTCACACGTGGGTGCCACTGGTACTGCTGTGGCTTCTTTCTACATGCATGACATGGATGTCTTAGGCCGAGTTTAGTGGATGTGATTCCTCCTACTCACCCCACCCAAGTGCACGGACCCAGAGGTAAAGACCCCCCAGCTCAGAAGCATTCCTGGTCCGTAAGTCCTTGTTTCTGTAGATCTCTGAAATCAAAAGAGCAGTTCCAATATGGAGGCTGCTCAAAGCACAGAGGCAGAGAACCTACCGCAGCCGCAGAGGGCGTTTCAGAAACACCCAGCCTGGCTTAAGTGCCAGGGCATGGGGTTGTGACTTTGCTCAGAGTCAAAGGTGTGGGGCTCAGTTTCAGCGAGAGGAAGGGCCGCCTTAGAGAAGAAAGTCGACCAGGACTTGCGTGGCTGCGTTCCTCTCTTGACATTTCTGTGGCTTATGCTCTTGCCACCGCAAAAGCCAGGATTTGACTGTGCAGGATCCGACCCTGGCTGCTCTGATGAGGTCCTCAGACGCTGGGGGGTAGGATGGGGAGGGATGTGCCCACCCACATGCTGCTGCCGTGCTTCCCTCAACCTCAGCCTGAGGAGCAGACCCTCGTCAGACCCAGGAATCATTTTTGCGGGGGATATGGCACTGCAGCAGGAGGCCTACCCGAGCAGAATTGAGTTCCTGTGCTCTTTTTGCCCCCGGTTTTTATTTAAAAAATTTAAACCTGTGGAAAAGTTGAAAGACTAGTGAGTGTATTGAATACCAGACCCCCATACCGAGATTTTCCCACGGGTAACATCTTGTCATATTCTCTCCCTCTCATGGGATTAGTTTTTCTTCCAAGTCACTTGAGAATAAGATATCGTGACATTTCATTTCATAAATATGTTAGCATGGATCTCTTCTTAAAAATCTTTTTCATTGATAAGTAAAAACTTTATGTATGGTATTCAGCATTATGTTTTCAAATATGTGTGCTGTAGAATAGGTAACTCAGGCCACTTAACACATGGCATCTCTCTCTCTCTCTCCTCTCTCTCTCTCTCTCTCTCTCTCTCTCTCTCTCTGCATCTCTGCAGTGCTGGGGATTGAACCCAGGGGCCGTGGATCTCTTAATAGTAACAGTGCATCTTCTGCATAACCACATTCCATTGCAACTAAGAAAATCGACAGTCCTCCTGTAAAATTATCTAACATCTCGTCCACTTTCAGGTTTCTCCTATTAAGCCCATTGATGCCTTTTATAGCTACTTTAGTTTATTTGCTTAATTTTCAAATCAGGTTGTAATCAAGGTCAAGGTGTTGCAATTGGATACTATGTCTCTTCCCTCTCTTTAGAATTTGTTTCACCATGATGGTGTGTGTGTGTGTGTGTGTGTGAGTCCAAGCCAGTTCTCATAGAATATCCCACATTCTGAATTTGTCTTTGGTATAATCCAACTTGTTCATCAATGCCTGGATGTCCTGCTTAGCCTCAGATTAAACATTTAGCAAGAATGTTTCAAAGGCTGTGCTGTGCCACTCCGGTCATTCATGCAGGGCCTGCCGTGCTATTAAAATGACCTCTGCTTTGAATGCCTGGGAAAGAAGGCCACTCTAATGCCCCTCTGCTTTCTGCCCCACAGAATATGTGTGCCCTGGAAGCGGAGCTGGAGAATCTGCTGGGGGAGTTCTCCATCAAGATGAAAGGTAATCCTTTCCCATCAGGGAGAGTACTCTGCAGAGCTCCCTGAGGTCTGGGACACATGCTCCTGTTTCCTTGCACAGATAGGGCCGCCCGTGCTCAGCCCCAACACGGTGTTAGCATATCGATGCTTCTCGTCCTGAGTCTTGCCTTCAGACTTAAAAAAGTACATTCATTATCCAAGAACTTCAAACATACACAAAGGTGGAGAGAACATCACAATGAACCTTCATAAACATACACCCATCACCTAGATTTAATAATTAGCAGACTTTTGCCTGATCTGTTTTCTTGTGTTTGTTTTCCCTTTGATGAATCAGAAGTCCTTTGATGAAATGAAACCTAGTTCTGTCAGGCTGCCCTGGTACTCCAGTGTGCATGTCTTGAAGAATAGGGCCATCTTATTATAGCTGTGTGCCGAGTCCTGTCACATTACCACAGCTAACAAAGTCAACAGGCCTGATGGTAACCCATTTCATTATTGAATTTCCCCAGTTGTCTTACAGTCAATTTGCTTGGGTTAGGATCAGGACCATGCATCATGATTAGTTGGTGGGTATACCTTTAGGTCTCCTTTAATCTGAAACGAACCCATGCCCCCTTTCCCCTCCGTGGTCTGGTAGAAGCCCCCATTGGGCAGTGTCTCACTCCAGACTTGCCGGCTGGCCTCCTTGCCGTGTGGTTTGAACCGCTCCTTTACTCCCGTGTGTCTGTAAACTACCACCAATCGTTTAGTCACAGAGGACCGCGCCTTTGTGGTGTTTATTCCAGAAAGTTCCATTCTAGAGGCATCATTGATTTTATATCACAGCATCTTCAGAACAAAAGGGAGGTCTGGCTACAGATGGAACTGGCCCAGGGGTCACCAGATCCACAGCTCGGTGGCCAGGCAGGAGGCCCATTTCTGTTTGACTGCAGCCCAGGGCTGGTGCTTAGCCTTCTGTTTTCTCTGGGCTTTTTAAGTAGCTTGTTCCCTGGGCTGTTAATGGGGATTTAATCACCCTCTTGTCTACTTTCTGCAATTAGGGAAGTTAAGAAGGCAGACTTCTTTAAAGAGTGCTCAACAGGAGAGCTTCATTTACAAATGAATCCCCTGCCTCTGGAGGTGCACTATGCCCTGTGGGTGGAGTGAGGACCTCTGAGTGGGTACACCTGGAACAAGAGGGCCCTGGCCCTCAGTTCCCCGGTGGTGCTGCGTACTTGTTTTCAGAACCCCTGAGTCCTGTTCAGCCTCGGGTGTTTGCACCTGTCTGGGTTTTCAATTCTGTTCTCTTCCTGAGGTCTTTCCAGACTCTCCACCCGAGTCAGTAGTTCAAAGCCCCTTGCAGGAAGCCAGAGCACATGGCGCTGGGGTGGGGTCCTAGAGGATGTTTTTAACTTTGAGGATGCTGCCGTCAGCAGCCAGCTCCACCCCTGTGGACAAGCACAGGGTGGGCCCTGCTGCTCCAGTTTCCGATACTCACTGTTACCTGAAGCCTCAGTTTTTGGTGAGAGGGAAAATCTCTTCATTTCATACATGGGAAATGAGGGCTCAGGGAGCTTCAGTGACTAGTCCCGGAAGTTACACAGTTAGTGGGTGTTGAACTTGAAGCTGAATTCCAGGCTCTTGGCTCCTGCTGCCCCGACCCAGCCACACACTGTGAGGAAGTTCCTGCTCAAAGGGTGGTCCCTGCTGGGAGAGATCCCCCACCCCACACAGGCACTCTTTTGCTCAAAGGGTGGTCTCTGCTAGGGGAGGTTCCCCACCCCACACAGACACCTTGGGGTGAGGGAAGGGCTGCCCACCCACCCACATGGTCCTCAGGGCTGCTTGACAGCCATGGGTGGTATGGGGGCCCTACCACCCCAGAGGCCCGAGAATCACCCTGCTGCTACCAGAGCTAGGTAGGTGGGCATGGTGATGGGCTGCTGACCTTCACCTCCCACCTGGCCCAGGGGTTTCTCCCAAGGCTCTCAGACCTGAGGCTGACTCTGCTTTCCCATGGATGGACTTCTGTCACCTCTGCTTTCCTAATGTCACATAAAAGCCGGAGGCCACATCTGTGCAGCCTTCGGAGGGTAATGCCCTGTAGATACCCACCCCTCCCTGCAGAAAGGGCAAGGGAAGCCCTGCCTGCTGCCAAGAAATCCTAGCTCTTTGCCGGGGTAGATTTCTTCTGTTACTCGTTCTGGTAAAAATAACCACCCCAACGCACGCATCGACCAACTGAAGCAGTTGCACGATGCCCTCAGATCTGGCAACCCTAACTTCCTCCCACCCCACCCTTCCCACTTCCCCTCCTGCCTCACCCCAACACGCACTAACGTCCATGGCAGGGCCCCGGTGACACCCACGTGGACAAAGTGCTTCCTGGGTGCCTCATGATGGTCCCAGCCTGGGCTCCACAAGAGCTCCTGGGGAAGTGCAGACGTGAGCCAGGGCGCTTAATTCAATGGAGTAAGTGACCAGCTGGACCAATAACATGACCAGATGGCTGTGGAGGCCTGAGGGGAGGCGGGAGGAGTGGGGAGGACGGAAGGAGGCTTCACAGTGTCACCCATGAATTAGAATCAGCAGGACCGGGGTAGCACACACCAAAGAAGGGAAGCTGCTTCCAAAATGACAGGACACGGTTCTTTCAACATGAATTCTACTGTCATGGACAGCTAAAAGGAACCACTGATTTAAATTTAAAAAAAAAAAAAAAAATGACAGGACAGACATAGTGGTGCACGCCTATAACCCCAGCCACTTAGGAGGCTGAGGCAGGAGGATCACAAGCTCAAGGCCAGACTCAGCAACTTAGCAAGAACCTGCCTCAAAATAAAAAATAAGAAAGGCTGAGTTCGTAGCTCCCTGTAGAATGCCCCGGGGTTCAATCCCCAGTACAAAAAAAAAAAAACAGAAGACGAAGGAGCCTGAGAAAAGACCTGGGCGGCAGAGTGCTTGTCGGGAGATGTGGGCAGTTCTTTGGGGCCAGATTCTGAAATGCCGGGAATGCCCCTGCGGAGAGAGCACTAGCTCTGAGACGGAGACGGGGGACCAGGATGGAGGTTCCTTGGGGAAAACCGGTTTTCTTCCCGATGACCTCAGGCTGATTGAGTTCCAAGCACGTCCTGAAGTCTGGGCTAACTCCTTCAGCTTTGGGGCCCAGTGGGCCTCCGGAGAGCTGGTCAGCAAGTCAGTCAGGCCGACGCCGAGCCGCCGTCAGCCACGGGCAGTGTCCCAGGGGCAGGAAGGGTGACTCTTGAGAAGGAAGATCCTGGTGCAAGTGGGAGAAGCCGTGGAAGGCGTTCTGGCCCGTCCATGTGTGGGCACAGGCCACCCGTGGGCAGCTGCTCCCTGTGGCTCCCACCCTCCACTGAGGCTGTGAAGAGCCAGTGTCAGGAGCGAGTGAAGCTGCAGAGGGTTGGTGAGGGTGCAGTGCTCACAAGTCCCCGGGGCCTCCCTCCACTCACCCCTCGGGGCTCACGCCAGACGGCCTCAGAGTGGTCCTGAGGAAAACTTCCCAGAGTGCAACAGTGATCCCCAAACTGCAGGAGGAACAAAACATTCCGCTTTCCTGACTGGGAACAGGAGCCCCACGTGCCCGAGTGTGCGAGGAGCCGACAGCCCACGCACTGCCACTGCCACTCGAGTGCACCCGCACACACAGGCAGAGCTTCAGGGAGCTGTGCCAGGGCCACGGCCTCCTTTCTGCTGCGTCCTTGCTGTGATCAGAGTCTCTGACACCTCTACAAGCAGTTCCAGGAAAGTGCTTAACAACTTGGATTACATAAGAGGAGTCATCGCTATGTACCTTTCTCCCTTTCAGTTAAGGTTTTCAGATATGAAATTTCTGGCAATATTGAAAGGGGGAAAAAAGTCAAAGGATTTTCCCCTTTCCTCACCTTTATCTAGCAACCATAGCAGCCCAGTGTCTTTTTAACCAAGGTTTTATTGTGGTTGCACACATAAACAGGCTATGAATCGGTCCCAAACTCATTTGCAGGCTTTTCTTTAAAAGCACTTTGGATTTTTATTAGAATTAGCATGTCAAGCTTTGGATTTGTGAAAGGCAGCCAATTATGCTTTCCTTCAGAAGTATGTTTTTTAAAGACTAAGGGCCCTAAATTATTAGTGAAAATGGGTTTCTCTAATTCTGCTCTTAATTCAGTTAAGTCCTCTAAGTGTCTTGCCATCTTTAACTATTAATAAAAGCTCTTCTGAATGGACCACTGGCTGGGTGCGCTGGACAAGCTGGTGAGTTGCTGCCACCTACTGACGGCTGCTGGCAACAGCAGGTTCTTTTAGCGCTTCTCAGCCCTGTGCTGTCCTAACCCCAGCCCATTAGTGGGGTGGAAGAGCGGTGTCCTATAAAGTCACAGTTTGTTACCCAGCTCTTGGTAAAGGAGAGGCACCTTGTGACATGATCCCTGTCTTCTTCAGATGGCTAAATTCATGTTGAATGCAAAAAGAACCCAGAATACAAAGACTATAAATGTCGAGGTGAGGAGGCAGAGGAAGCAGGAACCCGTTAGTTATTTGGACATCTTTTCTGTGTTACAGATCTAAGAATCACAGGGCTGTTTTCTACCAGCTCATCAAAATCATCTCCTCTCAGGCTGCAACTGAGAAATCACTGGATAAACAGAAACAGGATGTTTGTGTCTTCTTGAATTTCGGTGCAGCGACTTTTGAAAGTTGTCCCTTATAATTTGTAAAACACTGAAAAGCGGGGCATGGTGGCACTGCCTGTAATCCCAGCGGCTCAGGAGGCTGAGGCAGGGAGATCGTGAGTTCAAAGCCAGCTTCAGTAAAAGCGAGGCACTAAGCAACTCAGGGAGACCCTGTCTCTAAATAAAATACAAAATAGGACTGGGGATGTGGCTCAGTGGTTGAGTGCCCCTGAGTTAATCCCCATACCCCCCACCAAAAAAAAATTGAGAAATATATCCCATAAATTAAAAATATACATAATTGCTCTACCCAGTACTAAACTTTGTTAAAATAATCATAAATACCCAACAAGCCTTTTCCATGTGTTTATGTTGACTACCAATATGTTAGTAGCTCTTTTATATCTTTTTTGTTACAAAATAATTAATCACATGATCTTTTCTTTCTTCTTTTTTTTTTTTTAAATTTTTTAGTTGTCATCAGACCTTTATTTTATTTATTTATATGTGGTGCAGAGAATTGAACCCAGGGCCTCACACATGCTAGGCTAGTGCTCTACCACTGGGCCACAACCCCAACCCAATCACATGATCTTTTGAAAATCAAATAGAAATTACATATTTAATAGGTAGGAATCAAATATTTGTCATCAAATATTTAACTTTCTCCCCAATTCCACCCGCCAGAAATAGTTATTCCTAGGTGTTGGTCAGTTTTTCTAGATTTGTTCCTTTGGATACATTTATATGTGGTTGAGATAAGACTCTTCATGACACTTTGCATTCTGCCTTACTTTTTAATTACAAATATTGCCTTTTATTAAAACTTCACTGCAAACATTTGTACTAAATTTTTAATTGGAATTTTTTAAATTTGTAGTTGTAGATGGACACAATGCCTTTATTTATTTTTTTTTATTTATATGTGGTGCTGAGGATTGAACCCAGTGCTTCACATGTGCTAGGCAAAGCACTCTGCCATTGAGCCACAACTTCAGCCCTTAATTGGAAGTTTTACCACAGATATTTTTAAACCAGAAAGTTAAAAAGTGACAAAGATTTTTTTCCCCCATTTCTATTGCATTTATTTAGTTCCTTGATTAAAATTTTCAGACTTTGGGTCCCTGTCAGTACAAAGGCTTTGCTTTATGATTGGCAGGAAGCAGCCCACTGAAGCCAGAGCAGCTGATCAGATGGAGCTGGGATTACTGATCAGCCTCTGCCGTGAGCCCTGGGTTGGGGCATGCCTTTCTCCCGCTCCATACTCAGGCTTGACACACAGTAGGCCTTTCAGAAATACTCTGGGGGGGCTGAGAGCGCAGCTCAGTGGTAGAGCACTGGCCTAGAATGTCTGAGATGGAGGGTCCAATTCCTAGCACTTCCCAAAAAGGAAAAAAGGGTGGTGGAACGCACAGGCCCCTCGCCCAGCCTCACCTGCCTGCAGAGCAAGGCCCACCTTGCTGTGACGAAGTTTGCTGTCACTGCCGCTCTCCTCGTGGGACTGTCCTACAGAAGATGAAAGGCAGTCTGTCTCTTTTTATTTTTTATTTTAATTATGTAAGGAATACATTCTCATAAAAACACAAAATAAGAAAAAAAGCAAAGATCTTTTATCATTTCTTCTTTGCTGTTTGCTTCCCTGATGGGTATTAATTTGTTGTAGATCATATTTGTTTCTACTCAAGATTGAACCCAGGTGTGCTCTACCACTGATCTACATCCCCTTTTTATTTTTATTATTTTTTTTTTATTTTGAGACCAGGTCTCACTAAGTTACTAAGGCTGTCCTCAAACTTGTAATCCTCCTGCTTCAGCCTCCCAAGCCACTAGGATTATAGGCATGCACCACTGTGCCTGGGGAGAGCACATCTTTTAAATGAATAGTATACATCACGTGCTCAATACACGGGTATGTAACCCTTACCACATTCTAAGCACCTACTATGTGTCAGATACCATCTGTTTCCTTACCAACAATTTTATAAAGTGAACATTGTTATCTCTATTTTAAAGGTGAAGAAACAGGGTTAGGTAAATCATCTAGGGTGGGCTAGCTGATAGGTAGTGCAGAAAGGACCTCACTTTAATCTGTCTTCCAGTTTGCAGGCCCTCAGCTGCTCTAACCGTGTTTTGTTCCATACTGTGGGTATCTGGGAAATCTTTCCTGATTTCCAAATAGTTACCCTGATGCGTGGTGCAGACCCTCACCCACAGCAAGCTCTCAGTACATGTTGTTAGAAAGAAGAAAGAGACTGGCCAGAGCCAGCATTCCCAGAAGTCCAGGAGGGGCCGGGTAGCTTGCCGAGATTTGGTTTTGCTGCAGCAGATAGAAAGCGTGCCAGGCCTCAGATGGAGCGGGTCCTTTCAGAAATGGCCAGAGCCGGGAGGCCACCTCTCCCCTCTGCGGGTGTAGGTTGTTGTCAGGGGGAGGGCTGGTTTGATTTGTCTTAATCACTAGTTGGTGTAAATTCAGTGATTTCATAATGCAGTAGATGGCGGCATCAGGGTGCTGGGTGGGAAGGATGGGGGAACAGGAAGGGGTGGGCTGTAGCCTTAACTGGGAAGCCCAAAGAAACCTCCAGTCTCACAACAGGAAGGAAGACTAGACACCCGTTTATTTTTATGGGAACATGTACACAAACAAGTGAGGGTGTCTTTCGGGCCCTAATGCCCTGACCCTGGAACCTGCCGAGGTGCCCAGAACTCTAGCCACCCTGGAGCAGTGTCCCTGCCCCAGAAATCCTCTCCCATCCCCCCCATCAAGGAATGTCCTCTCCAGCCACCATAGAAGGGACTCCCAAAAAAAGCTATTCCATACAGATGGCCCCAAAAATGTTATCTGAGGTTTGCCAAAGTGTGGCACTGCACCTGGATTTCTCAGTGTGCGGCACGGGCCTCGGGGATGCACTTTCAACACCTCACGTCCTAACTGCTTGCCTGCAGGTCTGGCTGGCTTTGCGCGCCTCTGCCCTGGAGACCAATATGAAGTGAGTATTCTCTGATCCACAGGTGGGGACTGAAGACCTGAGGGGCCAGGGCTAGTGGTATTGTTTTTCTTCTTGAGAGTTTCTTATTTTTATTTGGAAAAACATTCTAAGCCCATGAGAAGATCTGAAGATGGGTGAAGACCTGCCACCTGCCCTTCCCCTGGACTCCCCTCTTTTAACCTTGTGCCACAGTGGCTTAGTTATCACTGCTGCCCTCGAGCCCCTACGAATCAAAGACCTAACCGTGACCTGTTAAGAGTAATGACTGAAGAAGGATAGATACGCAGGCCTGTCCATACAAACACCAACTCCACTGAGTACAAAGTCCTTTCCCGTGTTCCCCTTCTCAAGAGACCACATGTAATGATTTGTCCACCTCCTCCAGTGCCCTCTGCCTGACCAGGGAGAGCCTGCACAGCCTCCCCAGAGCATGTGTGGGTCACAGCCTTGCCAGCTTGCTTCGTCACCCAGGGGCAGGTGTCGCCAGGCAGGCTTTAGGGATGGGCTCTGGTCTCTTGGAGGATCAGAGCCCTGAAGAACTAGTCCCATGGCTGTTCTACTGACATAGAAGAAATGAGGGGGGACCCAAGGGCGAGGGCCGGGACTTTACTGAAGACCCTCCAGGCCTCGTTTTGGGGAAGCAGAGGTGCCCCCTTTAACATGTCCCTTCCCCGGTCATGGTCAGGACAGGCGGCTGGGGTGATGGGGGGCCGCCCTTGCGGGCCTCCCCGCCCTGTCCTGGTGTTGGGGAGCGAGCCAGGGCAGTGGAGCCTGAGGCCTTGGCATGTCTGCCCCCAGGTCTTCATGAAGTGCGGCCGGCAGAGGTGGAAGCTGAAGGGCAAGATAGAGGTCAACGGCAAACAGAGCTGGGATGGGGAGGAGACCGTCTTCTTGCCCCTGATCGTCGGGTTCATTTCCATCAAGGTCAGTACTGCCCCTGCCTCTTGTGGTCTTCCTGGTGCCAAGTTGGACGATCCGTCAGGGGCAGCCTTTCCCTAAGACTTCTGCCATCTCACAGGCTCCTGTCCCCACAAGTCTGTGACAAGGACAGCTGCCCTTGTAAGAAAGTGAGCAGAGCAGCCCTGAGATGGGCTTTTGAGATACCTGCCTCGGGTTTTGGACCGTTTCTTTCTGAAAGAAGCCACCAGCTGGTTCAGAAAAAGGAAAAGGGGGAGCCCGTTCCCTGTTCTCTCTGCCTGTCTTCCTGCCAGGTCACAGAGCTCAAAGGGCTGGCGACTCACCTCCTGGTGGGCAGTGTGACCTGTGAGACCAAAGAGCTGTTTGCAGCCCGACCGCAGGTGGTGGCCGTGGACATCAACGACCTCGGAACCATCAAGTTGAACCTGGAGATCACCTGGTAGTAAGTTGCCCTTTTCCTGTCGTCCCGGGGCAGCGTGCGCTGCAGGTGCTGGGAGGCCGGTGTGGACGTCGGCAGGGCAGGGAGCCTGACGAGCAGACCGAGGGGCTGCAGCAGACCTGCTGGGCGAGGGCCTGTGGATAAGCTGGCCGTGGCCCTGCTCCCCGCCCCTCCTCCGTACTTTAAGCCTCTTACTCTGCCTCTTCCCTCCCTCTCTACCTGCAAACGGAGACACCAAGAATCACGGCTCCCAAGCAAACCACTGGGAGCTACAGTAAACTGTCCAGAGAGGGAGGCTTTGCCTCAGGCGGGTCCCTGCTTAGCCTTCTTACCCACGGACTTCACTTCCCGCTGCCCTGGAGGACTGCAGATGCCCCCTAGGCGTCCTTTACTGAAATAGAGCATTTCCACAGGCAAGAGGCAGCTCTTGTAAAATTTACAGGTGGCTTTCCAGGGTCTCCTCCTGCCGTCCACACTGGATGTCATGCCACTGGCCCACCCAGTGACATTCGGGGCCTCCCTTCCGCGTCGGAGTCAGTGCCTCTCTAGGAAGCAGTGCCAGCCTTTGCCCAGCCCTGCCCTCCTGGCCAGTGCAGCCGCTGACGTCACAGGGCAGGCCACCCTGCTGGATGACCAGGGCCTCAGGATGATCAGCAGCACCCCCGCGAGCAGGCTGCCATCCTCGGCGGCTCGTGGGGCGCTCTAGCGACTGAAAGTGGTGGGATTCCGTTTTGGAGTTTTTCCTCAGAATCAAACAGCAGTCTGTCCCTTGCTCGAGCTGTTCAGGGTCTTGCCCGACAGAGCTCGAGAATATTCACAACTTCCCCAACATCTGGTTACGTTGGAGGCAGCTTTAGTGAGTCCACGGTTCCAGGTTCACGAGGACACAGACACACCTAGGCCAGGAGGGAACTGGTGCTTACAGCTGTGGTCACCTGCGGTCCCTCGGGAGCTCTAAATTCCATTTTCTGCTCCACTTTCTTTTTTCTTGGCTTATTTTCTGACAAACAGTTTGGCCAAAACCAGCCCAGTGCCCTAGTTTGAGTTGACCTCAAAGAAGTGCTCTCTTGGCCTGCGGTCCTGCGGTCACAAGTGACTAACGGGCGGCTGCCTGTTGTTTTGCAGTCCCTTTGACGTGGAGGACACGACCCCATCCTCGGGTGGTGCGGGGAACAAGGCGGCAGCGCTCCAGAGGAGGATGTCCATGTACAGCCAGGGCACCCCGGAGACGCCCACCTTCAAAGACCACTCCTTCTTTGTAAGTTCCACGTGACTCTGGAGTAGAAGTTGTGTCTGAGTCGTGCTTGTGCCCAGCACTTGAGATGCCCAGCAGCGGGTGTTGGGGTTCTCAGGAATGCCTGCTCACGCGATTCTTAAAGGTCTTCCTAGTCGAGGGCTGGCTGAGGAAGCCACCTCCCCGTCGCCTTTGGTCCGTGAACAGTGGTCCCTGGTCTTTCCTCTCCTTCCCTCCATGTCCTTACCTACTGCTGGACAATACTGGGTAGACCGTTCCAAATGTTCTCTAGCATTAGTCATTGAGAGAAGTGGATGTAGGTATGGGCCTCGGCCCACCTGCTAGCAAGCTAGGGTAATGCAGTAACCTGACTCTCTCCACTCACCCCCACCCTACGCCCTACTCTGACTTCAGAGGAGCCGGCTGCGTCCCTCTGCAGACAGGCCGTGGTGGCTGTCTGTCTTGAGCGCCTCCAGGGACACTCTCTTTGCCAAGCTGCACCGCAGCCGCTCTCTCAGGGACCTGCCCTCCCTCGGCCTGAGCCCCATGGCTGTGCTAGAGTTCTATGTGAGTGTGGCCTGCCCGGGTGACGTGCCTGACTTCGTGACTTCAGGGCCCATTGCATGATGCTTCTGCATGTCCCTTCTTTTTCTTCTGGCACTGGGGTTGGACCCAGGACCTCGGCTGCAGCTAGCACTCTGTCCCTGAGCCACCCCAGCCTTCCTGCGTGTCTTCTCTCACCTCTCCGTTGCTCTCCAGGCGGGCCGTGCATGCAACTTGTGTGAATTCTCCTTAGATAAGCCCTGTTTTGTGCTGTGATTTTTCTCCACTGTGGCAAAGATATCCATGGTAACCAGATTTTTATTTTTAAAAACACAGCTATCCTTAAAAGCAAAGGAGGTTTTATTTCAGAAAGTATCAGCCTTTCAAAGACTGGCCTTCAAGTCTTTGAAGGACTTAGACTGATTTTACTAGCACCGTGTCTATCTAAAGAGGTTGTGGGTCTTGGTTTATCGTAGCATGTTAGTTCTTCAATGCTGTAGTAGAAGAAACAGGGATACAGCAGGCTGCCTACTTTATACGAGTGACACATGGTGTCATAAGAGAATACGTGTACATACATGGAATATTCTGCTCTTCTCAGACACATAAAGTCATCTTTGAATGTCCAGGCAGAAGAAGTTGAAGTCTTCAGGCTAATAGCAATGTCATCATAGTAATAATTGCATCTTATTCATTGAACCAAAAAGCACAGATGAAAAGGATGAGGGTGAACTCTTGTGGAGTTTCAGGGGAAATTCACAAGACTGTATGGGGAAATGTACACAGAGTCATACATAAGAAGCAATAGAGCTCACTCAGCTGCCCACCTAACTGTCCACGCAATGCTTATGCACACTCGACGCCACGGGTTGGAGGGTTTGGGAGGTCAGGAGGGTTTCAGAGCATGTTAAACAGGAGCAAGGTTACGAAAGCTCAATGGCTTCGTGCAGCCTTGTGGATGCACCTGAAGTCCCCCAAACAGCCATCCTCATCCCACCCAGCCCACCTTCCAGGCCCATCTCTTACCCTGCATCCACTGTCCTCCAAACTCACCACGTCCCTCCAGGATCTGGTATCTTTGCATACACTGTCCCTGTCCTCTCCCATCCTCTCCTTCACTGGGTTGAAGGCTGGATGCAGGTCCTCTCTTGGGCAGCGCCTCTCCCCTTGCTGGGACACTTACCTCATGACACACGCCTCAGTTGCATTCTGTCAACCAAGGTAAAATCAACCCAGTCAAGAACAGAAGAATGACGTTTACTTGGGGCTCGTGAGGATTGCGATACTTGGAGACAGAATTCAGGCAGCCTTAGAAATGCTCAGCGTGAACTCCCAGGGCAGGGAGGGGGCATTAACTACACCTCTCCTTCATCAAGAATTGTGAGGGCCAGGACATGGGGCCCGCTGAGGGTCTGAGTGCATGTGCAGGGGCATGTCCAGCAGCAGCAGGGGCACGGACACCTCTGCAAGCATATATGACCTGTCTTGGGTCCGCTCCTGTTTGGCTTGCTGGAATGTTTTATGAGAATTGTCATTTTATATATAAGTAAAACGGGCACTGGCCTGATGATGACCATTTACAGTCATTCCTGGTGTCTGCAGCAGGTCCCAGCCCCTTGGACGACACAGTGTAGCATGTGCATGTAACTCCACACATCCCCATGCACTGTAAACCCTCTCTGGGTTACTTCTGACCCTAATGGGTTAAGCAAAGGCTTCCATCTTACACTGTACTGTTTAGGGAATAAGACAAGGAAAAAATGTATGTGTTCAATACAGATGTTTTTTTCCAAGTATTTCCAGTGTTCGGTTGTCTCTGCATGTGCAGAACTCATGGACACAAAGGTGATTTAAGAATCCAATCTGGAATGCAGAAAAACCAGCCATGATGAAGGAGTTAGATAACTAGAAAACACAGAGCGGCATTTGGCATTTGGACACTCTACACAGATGCAGCCTAGGGAAGCTGGCTTAGCGAGTGCAGCACCAGCGTGAACAAATCGTCCCTCTGCAGACTTCTACTCCACGCTGCAGAGCCTGTCGGGGACACAGCCTGCATCTCCTTTCCTCTAGACACGCTGGGAGCCTGGGGGGGGTGCCTCATGGAAGATAGGTGTTTGTTTCTTAGTCTTTTTCAATCATTTCTAGAGAAGCTATGCAAATGTATGGTTGACCTTGAAGTATTTATGGCATGTTTACTAAATTAATAAAACATTTTCAAGAGTCTGGGGTTTGTGGGTAGAGATTTTCAAAACATAATTTTTGAGAACCAAAGTAGAACAAAGCATCACATCCTTGAAGCAAAGTAGCAAGAATGTTGGGAAGTCCTTTAAGGTAGAAAACATTCGTAGTCTTACTCAAAGTATGGCTGCCAAACACTGTGAGATCCCGGGATTGAGAATGCAAGCAACCATCCCACCCCACTCCTAACAGCTTCTTGTGGAAAATGTCAGACCTAAGAACAGGCACCGTGAACTTTCACCTAAATTCAACTAGGCAGTTTCCAGGGGCTTATTTTCTTTTGCCTCCCACACACACACGCCCATCGAGGAATAAAACAACAATGTGAAAGTTCTAGCTCTTTCATGTTGACTCCTTACATCTTGTCTGAAAATAAACCCTGCCTAATGCATCATGTGTATTGAAAATAACGGCTGTCTTTATCCTCAGGCAAATCTGCCCGATGACATCTTTGAAACTGGGAAGACAGCTGAGGAGCAAAGGCCACTCTCCCTCAGCTCCTGTGACCTGCCCAACGGGGACTGTGCCCTCCCCTGCAGCCCTGCAGCCTCTCCCTCCAGCTCGGGCTCAGCGAATCCAGAAATCACCATCACCCCTGCAGAGCTCAGCCACACCGGCCGGCCCTCCCAGGACCAGGGAGGGGATGACGGCAGCTGGGCATCTTCCAGGAACTCCTCGGGAGAAGGCCAGGAACCCAAGTCACCTCTGCAGGAAGGCCCAGCGGAGCCCAGGAAACCCTCCGCAGCCACGGCTTTGGGGGCTGAGCGCCTGTTCCTTGAGAATGCAGTCGCCGAGGCCCTTCTGCAAGAGTCGGATGAGGCCTCGGAGCTCAAGCCCGTGGAGCTGGACACTTGTGAAGGGAATGTCACGAAGCAGCTGGTCAAGAGGCTCACCTCGGCCGAGGTGCCGGCAGCCACAGAGCGTCTGCTTTCTGAGGACTCGGCCAGTGGGGAGTCCTTCCTGGATGGCAGCTTGGAGGATGCCCTGAGTGGGCTGTTTCTTGCTCTAGAACCACATAAGGAGGAGTACAAGGAGTTTCAGGATCTGAACCAAGAGGTCATGCATCTGGATGATATTCTAAAAGTAAGTGCCTTTTCAGAGACATTGGGTTAGGTTTGCAGAGAGCTGTCCTAAACCAACTATCTGTTAAGATAGCACATCTTTCTTCTTCCCCTCCCCCTCCGCCTCTTCCTTCTCCTCCTTCTTCTAAGTCCTATCCAGTCGCAGGATCAAGAGGTGATCATCATGTAAATGGCAGTGATTATTGACGCCACTTAGGCATATCTATTTTTATTTCCCTGACAACAGATCAACTTCACTAAACTGATTAGGAGCTCACTTAAAAACTCATAAGAATGTCCAAACCGGTCTAGTCCCAGAACTAATCATTCTAATCCTAAAAGTGAAATGCTGGCATGGTGACCAGCACAGCATCACAGATGTTACTGGACAGGGTCCCTCTCAGGAAGTAGAGGAGCCCTCCCCTAGTGGGAGTCCCAGCTGGTCAGCCCCAGCATGAGAGCCACGGCACCCTGTCCTCCAGCGGTGCTCTCTGATAGAAGAAACCTCCCATCTGCAAGTTGGGACCCCAGATCAGCACTTAGTCAGCCATCACACTCTGGAAGCCAGGGAAGGCCAGAGTTCACCAGAGATATTTTTCTCCATCCATGGTGATCCGCTAAGAGTAATGGGACGGATTCCTCTTGGGTGGGAGGTCTGAGAACAAGATCCTCATCTCTGCTACATCAGAATGGATCCGTCTTCCCCTGGCATGTGGATTAACATTTTTTAAAATGCCACACATGAAGACAGAGCTTGAATTTGTGCCCTGAATCGCACTGCCACTGCTTGTATTATTTGCTTTCCGACTCTGATTCTTATGATCATATAGAAGGGAACTTGGATCCTTTTTCTTGAAAGAGCAACTCCATGGGGACCTGTTGTATTGAACAGGCTTAAAAGTAAGGCTGCAGACTGAGAATCAGCCACAAGAGGCGGCCACAGCCTCTGTGTGGCAGTTTTCAGATGTGGCCTTGCCACTGGCATCTGGATCTCCATTTCCACGGCTTTCCTGACTCTCTCGAGTCCCACTGACCCAGCCCTGGAGAGGACTTGTGCCCTCCTAGATGATTAGTTAGCCTCTGACTCTGCAGGTCCTCAAATGCTGGTGACAGGTTAGCTCCATTGTGGACATAGCTCTGAGAAACAGGGAGGGGCATTGGAATCTGCTTTCAGTACTCATAGCTCAAAGCACCATCTGAGGCCTTGGGCATGGAGGCTGCTGATCTGATCCTGCACTGAGCATCTTTTCTGCACAGTTGACCGGCTCTGCCTTGTGAGCCAAAGAGCTAAGACACAGGGCTGGCTGTAGCTCAGTGGAAGAGCACTTGCCTAGTGTTTAGGAGGTCGTGGGCTCAATGCCCAGCCCACAGAAAGAAAAGACCTCAGACATGAATTGACCCCACCTAAGCAAATGCCTTTAGCAAGCCTGTGGGGGTCGCAGCTCCTTTCCAGGAGTCCAGGACGCTGCTCAGTCCATCCAGAAGCAGTACGCACGGCATCCATTAGTCTTACGAAAGGCTGGAGCTCATGGATTCCTTTCCATTTGTTCCAAAACTTGCTAGTGAAATCCTCAACCACCCCTTTCTTCTTTATAGATGATACCCAAACCTATCCATCCTCTACAAGATCAGGTTGTACAGATAGCAAGCTTAGGAAAGAAGAGCCCAGACGCAGGTTGAGTCTCCCCTTGAGATTGAAGGTGTCCAGAGGGTTTGGGGCAAGTGGCTTTGCATCCAGCCAGAGTTAAAGCATCAGCTGGACAAAGCTCTCTCTCTCCCCCCTCCCACATTCCTAGGGTGCTAAAACATCTTGAGGATCAGAAACTAAACGAAGCTGCCTCTTGGACGGAGATCCCTGAGGGCCAGTGGAGCAACTATGATTTAAAGCAGCGACAGAAGTTCCCCCTGTGCTCTTGGGCCATCCTAAGTGCCCGAGACAGAGCCCTGCAAGGCCCCTCCTGCCTTGTGCTGGGAACTCATCGAGCAGTGCCAGCTAGCAGCGTGGAGGACACGTAGCGCATCTCCCTGCCAGGACTTGACCCCTTCCGTCCACCCCAGCGTCCTCTTGAGCCTTTGGCGTCCATCTCCCCTCTCTGCGCCTGTCACCCTGGCGTCATCTTCGGGTCATGTTTCTGCGCATGTCCTGCCACACAGCCTCAGGCCCCACATCCCAGGGCCTGGCCAGGGAGGCTGTGGGGCTTGTTCCTTTCAAGGCAAAGCTCAGGGAAGTGAGGCTGCTTCCTGTCACGCCCATATCACTCATTCAGCCCCCGGTGCTCAAGAAGCCACACGCTGTGCCTGTGACCTCAGCTGTAGGCCTTCTCCATAGAGAGTGTGGGCTCCCTGAATCAGAGTGGCTTTGTGTTCTGGGACTTGCCTCCAGGACTACCTGGAGAGCCAGGTGCTTTAGATAGTCAGCTCTGGTCTCAGGACTTTGAAGACATGGTCACTTGAAATTAGAGATTGGAATCAGCATTGACTTGGTGTCCCTTAAATTTCATCTGCTGGGTTTTGATTTGTTGTTTTTTTGGAGACTGGCTCTCACTGTGTTGCCCCAGGCTGGTCTTGAGCCAGTGAGCTCACGTGATCCTCCCACCTCAGCCTCCCCAGCAGCTGGAACTATAAGCATGTGACCCTGCAGGGGGCTGGCTGGCTGTGTGTTATTTGGGGATGAGCACGAGGTAGAGGGGAATATAGCCTTTCTGTTTCCCAAAAATTTCTGGTTGACATTTCTAAAAATGTTTATTATAACAATTCCAAACAGAAGTGGATGTGCACATTCCCACATCCACACTGGTCCTCAATGGTCAGCTCATGGCCAGTCTTGTTTTATCCGTTCCTCTACCTGTGTGTCTCTCTCTGGATCATTTTGGAACAAACCCCAGCTGTTGTGCCATTTTTACCTGTGGTTGTACTTCTTTTTGGAATATGGAGATTTTAAATGCCAATAAAAAATAAAAGCTTGATAAAGGAGAGCTGAAGTGTGGCCTCTGGCAGGTGCCAGCTCCTCCCTGCAGGTGTGCTCATGTCCCCGGTGCCTTCTGCCTTGCAGTGCAAGCCCTCGGTGAGCCGCAGCCGATCCTCCAGCCTCAGCCTCACGGTGGAAAGCGCTTTAGAAAGCTTTGACTTCCTCAACACCTCTGATTTTGATGAGGAGGAGGACGGGGAGGAGGCACGCCGTGGCGGCGGTGCTGACTCGGTGTTCTCAGACACCGAGCCCGAGAGGAGCAGGTGAGTGGGACAAGGCGCCGTGTGCACCCGCGGGGGGGCCGGTGCACAGCTCCCACGCGGCCCTGCTGGCGGCACTTGGCTCCTTTTGCCAGTCAAGCACAGCTTCACCTCCTCCGGGTTGCTGAAGGGACGACAGATCTCTTTCCCTCCCAGAAGTGAGGGGATGGCTGGATGAGTCCCGTGTGCGTGTGCGTCCTGCGTATGCATGTGGTCTGCAGCCTGCCGTGCAGTTCTCGCCAGCCCGCTGGGTACACTGCTTGAGAACTGCGGACCGGTCCCACCTGGAGCCCTCTTCCTTCCCGGCCCTTGGCTTTGCTGGGCTTTGCTCTGCCTGCCCCTTCACCCAGCGAGTCTTCAGATGGCTAAGCTCCTCCAGGTCCTATCACAACCAATAACTGCCATTGTCCACAGCGGGGTGGAAAACAGGACCTCTGGGTGGGGGAGCCTGAAGGTGAAAGGTCCCCTTCTCTGCCTGGTCCTGGAGCAGCTGAGCCAGGTTCTCAGAGCCAGGTCCTGGGGGCATCTTGAGATTTCAGACCAAGGCAGACAAGCACCATGGGCATACCTGCCCCTCAGTCACCGAGAAAGACACACAAACACTCCCCCCAGGAAGGGGTGCATTGTACCTTTGGGACACTGTGACATAAATACATCTTCAAAGCTCTCTGTTCAGCCTTTACAGCTCTCTCTGTGGGAGGTGTTATTGTTTTGGGGTTCTGTTGTTCCTAGAAGGTTTCTTTTCCTAAGATAAAAACAACAACAAAGAAAAATACAACCTGAGAACCAGAATTTATTCCTTGAGCAAACTGGGCATAAAATGAAGGCAAATTTAATGAGTAAATGTAATATTTAAGTTCTGCTTCTGCATATTGTCTAGCTTGACTGAATTGGCGTCATACTTCCTCACTAAACTTTTCTGTAACTCGTTAGCTATGTGACACATCACAGCCAGGCATCCGTCTAAACTGTTTTTCTTCTTGCTAAAGGAAGCATTTAATAACAAAAACATTATTTCTTTTGTACAGTTTACAGAACATTAATGTTAAATGTATCTAACTCAATCAGTCTTACTGTACATTATCAGAATTATTAGAAAAGAACTCTGTGTGTGTGTGCACATATGTGTGTGTGTGTGCGCACATGTGTGTGTGTGTGTGTGCACATATGTGTGTGTGTGTGTGTGTGAACCATGTGTCAACCACCTGGACACAGCTGAGCATCTTCCCCTGGAGGCAAATGTGACTCAGAGCAGAGCCCTCCAAGCTGCTAAGCCTGGGTGAGGGTCTCTGCATGGTGGGCACTGAGGAAGGAGCAGGAGGCGAGAAGCAGAAGCTGCCTGTTGGTGACCAGGACACTCTCCGGGCTCCCTGTTCCATTCTCCCAACACAGATTCACTTTCAGAATAAAATGGGATGACATCAGTGCCATCATGATAAGACCTCAGGCAGGGGGACGTGGGGCTTGCACAGAGCAGGAGGCAGGACTCGGCTGTGCTCTGGGCACTTCGACACCTTCTAGCTTCTGTCCCCAGTAGAGCGTCTCCTCTTTCCTCCTGGCCACCCTCCTTTTGCCTTGTCTTCAAGAAGCAATTGATCTGGGGCCAGGAAAAGGCCGTGACAGGTTATTTCTTAATGCCATTACTCTTGGGAAACCACCGATACAGAGGACAACTTAATCCCAGAAAATCTGGCCAATCGCCCTGTCAACAGAGCAGGAAAGTGGGGCAAACACACAGTGAGGGCCCGACTCAAAAGACCTCGGGAGACACCTGGCACGTGCGTGGCTCACTGCTGGAGACGCGACGGAGACCCTAGGGCAATGCATTTTCTTGGTCCTCTGATGCTGGGCCGGTCAGCAGCAGGCTGAGTGCTTGCTTCTGAAAGGCCCCTCTGCTTTTCAAAGGAGGCGAGGGAAGGCAGACTCAGTGGGCGCGTGGGGCCTGGCGCCAGCCGGCCGACATGGCTCGTGGTCTGTACACAAAGGAAACGGCTCACGTCTCACCCACCCCCTGCTTCACCAGTTACAGGTCGGTTCACCCAGAAGCCAGGGGGCATCTTAGTGAGGCACTGACCGAAGACACAGGCGTGGGGACCAGCGTGGCAGGCAGCCCCCTCCCGCTGACCACCGGGAACGAGAGCCTGGACATCGCCATCGTGCGGCACCTGCAGTACTGCACCCAGCTCGTCCAGGTGGGAAGCCAGGCTGCTGAGGTGGCAGGAAAGCAGGCCTCCGGCTTTGGTTTTGCAGGGAAGTGAGAATTTGGGAATAAGAGAACAGCCCTGCTCTGGTATAAACCACCTCAAAAACTCTGATGGCGTGCCCTGCCTTCCTCACCCCGGGTCTCCCATCTCAGAACCCAGATCCCCGGGCCTTAAAAGGTAGCAGGTAGAATACGATTATGTTCCCTCTTCTAAATCCCTTGGCAGTAGATGAGGGGACCTTGATTAAGGGAAAAGGTCTGTGCATGCAGAGGGAGTGGGAAAGCCAGCATTAGTGAACATGTGTGGACATCAGCGTCACATGCATGTCCCGCCCCACCCCCACCCCTGCAAGAGCCGAGAGCCCAGGCTGAAGACTGCACCTGCCCTACCCCAGGTCTGGAGCTGGCATCGCCTGCGAGCAGTGGGCAGCCACGTTCCTCAGGTCCTCTCATCACCACTGAGCCTCATTCTGGCGCAGCGTAGAGCTGCTTTTTCTTCTCATTTCAAACTCTGCCCCTCAAGGTTGGCAGCAGAGGAGCCGAGGTTTTGAAATGCTTTCCAGGAGACTTTCGGCTGCCCCAACAGACCTTTGCCCCAAGGCCTCTACTTAAACGCTTCCTCCTCGCCTGGTGCTTCTCTCTCCCGTCTTGTTCTTCTCTCAGCTTGCTGGATGTATGTGGGACAGGGTAGGACAGGGGCGGGGGGCGCGGCCACCCAGGAGGGTGCTGGCAGGAGAGGAGCTGAGGTCTTGAGAGCAGGAGCTGGCTCGTGCAGAGTCAGGGGCAGAGTCAGGGAGCCCGGGTCCTGGGGCAGCATGGCCTCCTAGTGCCTCGGCTGGGATGAGACGGAGACGATCGTGTTTTCCACACCTGTGAGGAGCTTTCCATGGCCACAGGCAGCTTGTGTGCTCTGGGAAGCTGGCTGGCACTTACAGCTCGGCCAGCATCCTATTTGATCTCTGCTGTTAGGTGTCGAGGTTACAAACCACAGTACCAAAAACCGTCCTGGCACAAAGCGTGATATTCTTCTGTGATCAAAACGGACAAGCGTTTTCATTAACTTATGGCTATTCACTATTTACCAACCCTTTGAATGGGATGGTTTTCATATCTCTTTGTCCTTGCTGATGCTGACACCATGCAGAGCAAACCACCTGTTTACCTCTTAGAGGTAAAATAGTTACTTTCAGAGACATAAGAATTCTCTTCCATGACAGGGGAGGTTTTCTCCCAAAGACTGATCAACCCAAGTCTTCTGTGGGAAAGAGCCATGCTAGAAAAAGAAAGAGGGGGCATAAATACGCAGACTGAAGGAGGGGCAAATGCAAACCTGACTCACTTGCACTCACTCCTGAATTGGTGGGTTCACTTGTTTGGTATATGATCATAGAGAGATAAAAATGGGCCTTCCCAAAGAAACACACTCACAATAAATGTTTTTTGTTTTTTTTTTTAATAAATATGCTTCTATTTTACTCAGTTAACAAGAAAGACTTTAGCACATGCTTGCTAGACTTTGGTTTGAAGTGCTATTTGTCTAGAGTGGGACTGCTCTAGAGGGCTCAGCCTGGGAGCACGTCCCTGTGTCCTGCCTTCCTCTGTGCCTAGCAGGTGGCCAGGGAGGTCCTGAGAGGCACAGAAGAGCAAGGGATGTCAACACCAAGTGACTTGTGTCTCCTTTCTTATGCCTCCTTGTGCTTGTGAGGGCACATGAATAAAAACACCACTTGTAGGACACTGGGCAGATTACTTAAGTAAAATGGGGTCATAAATAGGACTGCCACATTGGGTGCCCACACGGGGTGGAGGCTGGTGCCAGGCCCACAGGGAGCACTCACTAAGCGTGGTGAGAGAGCTCAGATTGCAATTACAGTTATTAGACAATCTTGAAAACAAAAGCACACTATGAAAATCGACTGCATTTTTCCAAACAGATCTTTTTCTGCTCACACACCAAGACACCACCTAAGTGAGCTGAGTTTCTACGAGGAGGAGATTTATGAGGCAGAGAAGGGAAAGCAGCTGCACGGTAGCTGGTAGCTCTACTGCGGATAAAGTGAGCCAGGCATCTGGGGCACACCTGTCATCCCAGAGACTCAGGTCTCAAGTCCAAATCCTGCCCCAGCAACTTAGCAAGACCCTGTCTCAAAATAAAAAATAAAAGGGCTGGGGCTGGGGTCGCCCCTGGGCTAAATCCTAATCACCCCCAAGAAAGTTTAAAGTAGCACACCCAGGTGTGACTTGGACAGCTGTTGTGCCTGGCAGGGAGAGGGGACATCACCAGGATGGACCAACAGCCCTGCGTGAGTGCCTCCAGCATCCACGGCACATTCGGGAAGGAGGCGCTGGGAGCAGGAGCTCTCTACGGTACTTAACTGAAACAGCCGTGTTGTTTGTTTTATCAGCAAGTTGTCTTCTCCAGCAAAACCCCCTTTGTGGCAAGAAACCTCTTAGAGAAGCTTTCGAGACAGACCCAAGTGATGGGGAGACTCGCGGCCGTCAGTGACGAGGAGGCGGGGAGCCTGAGCTCTGTCGTGCAAGGTGAGCCTCTGTCCCCAGGGGCACTGCACTGTGCCCTGCCTCTCCCCGCTGCTGGCAGGGGCGTGGGCACCCCTGCCCACCCACTGCCCACTGCTCCCGGCCGTGTCAGGAAGACAGGGAAGCGTCTGGGCTGCAGGCTCCCGTCAGCCCCCACACACTGGCGTCTTCTGCAGGGCCTCCCTCAGGAGTGGGCCCGAGTGTGAACAGAAGCAGCATCACCCCAGGCACGTCCAGGAGGGTCCCTTCAGACAGATGACCAGGACTCTGGCCATGCAGCTGGCCACGTCCCCCATAGCGCTGTCCAGGGGCAGAGGTGGACGGAGGTGGGCCGAGGCCTGCAGGACAGGCCCCGGCTCTGAGTCTCGGCAGCTCAACTTGAGTGCGGAGGCGCCTCGCGCTCCTGTGGTCTGGCCCTGGGAAGAGTTTCTACTTTCACCTCAGAAGGCGGCAACAGGGTCTTCTGGAACCTCCGTCAGGCCTGGGCCTCCGCAGGGTTCTCCTGTTGTGTCTGCCTCAAGTGTAGCTCCTGGGAGCAGGGCGCTGGCGGGCCCTGAGAGGCATGAGCAGGGACAGATATTCAGGCTGCAAGCAACTGTCGCCTCCTCTCCATCCCACTGTCTCAGCCACTCAGCAGTACAGCGGTGACACACTCAGCTGCCCTCTGCTGTCCACTCTCCTGTCTGAGGCCACCAGGCAGGGTGAACTCCCCTGGCCACCATGGCCGCATCCCATGCCTTTCAGGAAACCCGGGGAGTGAGGGTCCTGATCCTGTAAGCTAGGGGACATGAGATGCCCGGGTGTCCCCAGGGGAGAGCCACTGTGCCTTCTGTCACTGAGGCCAACAGCCGTGTTTTTCTGTTGTCCTCGCTCCCGGGCAGGAAGCTTCCTCCTCCTGTCCTTGTCCACCTGCCAGCTGCAGAGGACTCCTGTCCCAACGGCAAACCCCTCAACAAAAGAGAGCCCTGACAGCGCCCCGCCCGCCCCACCCAGGGGCCCGTCTTCGTTGTCTTCATTTAACGTGTGTCCTGGGATGGGCCGCTCTTCTCTTCCAGCCCTCCCAGAGTTTCACAAAAAGCTGTCTCTGCTGTCCTTCTGGACCAAGTGCTGCGGCCCGGCCGGGGTGTACCACAGCTCTGCCGACAGGGTGATCAAGCAGCTGGAGGCCAGCTTTGCCAGGACTGTCAACAAGGAGTACCCAGGACTCGCAGACCCAGGTAGGACAGTGGGAGGTGGTAGGGCAGCGGAGGTGGTAAGGCAGTGGGAGGTGGTAAGGCAGCGGGAGGTGGTCTGCCCCTCGGTGTGAGAGTGGGCGTGGAAGGACCCCTGCAGCTGCCCTGCAGCCTGGGCCTGAAGAAGGGTGCACACCGGCCACAGGGCAAACTCATCCACTCACGCAGGGTTAAGGAAGAAAGATGGTGAACAGGTTTTAACAGTAGGGTGTCTGTGGGAACTGTCCCAGGACACCCTGCCAGCCCAATCGCAGGTGCCCACTGACTGCTCTGGTACCACTGTCGTGGTGTCTGTCTATCACCCACGAACACCCTCGTGTACTCTGGGTTCCTTATAGCACCTAAGACAACGTGGCTGCCGTGTGAAGAGTTGCCATGTGCTGTATCGCTTAGGGACCGATGGCGAGATTAAAATGTCTGTATATGTCCACTACAACTTTTTTCTGGATATTTTTGATGCACATCTGAAGATGTAGAACCCATGGACACTTTTTTCACTAAGGTGTCACATGGTACAACCACTTTGGGGAAACACTAGCAGTTTCTACTAAAACTTGATATGCTCCTCTGCCACCATCTAGAAGCTGTACTCTTGAACATTCCAAGAGAAACGAGGGCTTATGTTCAGGAGGAAGGCCCTGGGGAGGAAAGTTCATAGCCGCTCTATTCACAGGAGCTGAAAGTTGGGAACAACCCAAGTGCCCATGACAGGAGATTGGATGAATCATAATGTAACCATATCACAGGGCATTACCTAGTGCTTTTTAAAGAATATATTGCTGCTACAAGCAACGACTTGAGTGAACCTCACAGATGCTTTGTTGAGTGGAAGAAACCAGTTACTCCAAGTACATGCCACGTAACACCAGTTACAGGAAGTTCAAGCACTTGTGTAGACAGGAGGCAGGTGACTAGTTCCCGTGGTGGGAGGGGTGGGTAGCTGTGGAAGCTGTGGACTGGGAAGAGGCACTGAGTGCTGAGCCGCCCAGGTCTCCCGTGCCTGGCGGTCATGGAGGTGTGTGAGAATGCAGGTCACCTGGCCGTGTGCCGAGACGGTGCGCGGTGTATCAGGGATGCTTCACTTCGCTCATGGACACGTTACCATCAGAGAAGGAATGAAAGACAGCAAGCTGCCCCCACCGCTCTGTGTCTCTCCCTTTCAAATAGTGTTTCGAACCCTGGTCTCTCAAATCCTGGACCGGACGGAGCCTCTGCTGTCCGCCAGCCTCTCCTCGGAAGTCGTCACGGTTTTCCAGTACTGCAGTTACTTCACCAGCCACGGCGTGAGCGACCTGGAGAGCCACCTGTGCCAGCTGGCCAGGCAAGGTGAGGCGGCTCTCCTGTGCCACTGCGGTGGAGGCTCCTGTGGGCACCAACTTAGGGATCAGGGTGTGCTCTCTCGGAGCCTGGCCAGTCGGCCCACATGGGACTCAGAACCCTTTTTTATGGTATTATCCCCATATTCCAATCAACAAAGTGAGTTTCTCCACCGTCCTGCTTCCTCAGCGAGGACTGGGGTTCACCTAGGACAGGGTTTGCCAGGTGGTCTGAGTGAAAGACAGGGCAGCTGGGTTTGCTATCCTATTCCAGAAAGACTGCACACAAGGTTTCCTTGCATTTCCTTCACTGTCGATTTTTACATTTGACTATTTAATTCATCTACACATTATTTTTGCTTCCATTATAAGGAAGAGCTCCAAGGTCACTTTTCTCCCCTACGACTGGCCCCCCACTTCACTACAGTTACTTGATCCATCGGTGCTTTTCTCAGTAATTGGAAACGCCTCCTTTGCAGAGTGACCACATGTGTTCAGTCTGTTGAGTTCTACTTCCACTAAAGACGCACAGGAGACCTGTGTATTTCTAGCTAACAGGTCACTGCACTGTCACAGCCCACCTTCTTTCCTGCCTTCCAGTCTCCATGGTGCACACCCTGCAGTCCCTGAGAGATGAGAAGCTGCTGCAGGCCGTGGGCAACCTTGCTCCCAGCAGCCTCCTGGCCCAGCAAGAGGTGCTCCGGACTCTGGCTCTGCTCTTAACCAGGGACGACAGTGACGTCAGCAAGGCTGTGACGCTCTACTTGGCAGCAGCCTCCAAGAACGAGCATTTCAGGGAAAAGGTAGGAGGCCAGATCACGGCCACTGACTTAGAGTGCTTCTTGCCACTTGAATTAATATTAAGTACTACATGTTAATAAACCACTTAGGAAGAAATTAGCTTAGTAAATTTAAGAAAATTTATTTTTGCATGAAGGTTTTTTGGGTGGTGGGGAGTGCTGGGGCTGGAACCCAGGGCCTCACACATGCCAGGCAAACTACCATGAGCCACACCCCCAGCCCTTTAAAGAATCTAACGTGCAACCCCCAGATGCCCCGTATCCAACTGAGGGGCCACCTGTCACTGGAGTTTACCGCCTTCTTTGGTCCTCCCACCATGCCCGAACACCCTTTTCTCCCTAGCTTCCCATCAGAAATCTAGCCAACCCTTCTGGTCCAGTTCACACATCTTCTTTGTGAAACCTACCCTAGCGCCTACAGGACGTCCCTTCCCCCTTCCCCATCTGGCTGGCTTGGCCTCTTCTGCTCCCTGCTGGAACCTGACTCTTCTCTTCCCCACAGTTCCTTCAAACCCTTGGGGTTTCTAGATCTGAGGCCCCTTAACTGCCAGAATCAGAGAGGTTAGAAAACAGGAAAGAATTAGTCCTGGTGTTCTGTGGCACAGTGGGTGACTATGGTCTATGACAATCGAGTCCTCAATTTCCCAGTACACAGAGATGACAAATGTTCAAGGAGATGGAAACGTAAGTTAATCTGATTGGACCATTACACGTTGTACACACATATCGAGTTGATGGACTCTATGCCATAAATCCATACGAATATGTGTCAATTAAAAATTTAAATATAATAATATATTTTTTAAAATAGAGTCACTGGTGGAGTTTGCTAATGAACCAGCTCATTTTTTTTTTAAACTGGTGAATAAAGAGAAAGAATCGCTCTTTAAAAAAAAAAAAAAAAAAAACCACCTAACTTTGTATCATTCAACTTCATGTTCCTAAGTCCATGACCTGGTAGAATATAGAGGATCAATTTATTGACTAAAGAGATCTTTTAATCAACACGAATTTCAGTGGGATGCCTCACAGTGTCCCTCTTCTCCCCCAGGCCTTGCTCTATTACTGTGAAGCACTGACCAAGACCAACCTGCAGGTGCAGAAGGCAGCCTGCCTGGCCCTGCGGAGCCTGCAGGTAAGGCCAGCAGCCCCCGCACCCCCGGCACCCCCCCGCACCCCCCGCACCCGCAGCTGGGGCTCTCACCTCCTTGCAGCTGCTTGGTAGTTTCGGGTTGTTCTTTCCCCCTCGTATGTGACTCTGTTAAAGGGAACAAGTAGCAGAAAATAATCATGTTCTGCTGTGACCTGTAAGAATCAGTTTGCCTTTGGGTCGATATTAGGAAAGTATTTTATCCCACAGAGACATGATATGGTGATTTCACCGATATTTAATGTGCAGTACAAATAGCAAGGAATAATGATATTTGCAAAGAAGTCTCAAAAGTCAATGTGCCACTGAATTCCCACCCAGATCCTTTCCCATGGAACTCTTTTTATTAAGCAGTTAATCAATCTTAATTGTGTCAGGGGAAGGAAGTTAGTGGAGAGGGAGAGAGCTAAACTGTTAATGAACAATGAAAGGGCCAGAATCCCCAGCATGAGAGAGTTTACCTTTCAGTGGGCTGGATTCAATGTTTGACCCACCTTTATCACAAAAATAAGACTAATGGGGCTTGAGAAAAGAACGAGAAGGCCACACCTTAGACTCTACTAAAATCTTGGATGGGCACCGGGGCAGGGGGCAGGGACCGGCAGGCCTGATGGGACGTGAAGAAAGGGATTAACTCCTCAAAAGAAAAGTTAATGACCTGTGAAGAAAAACAACTGTGGGAAAGTTTGCCTTCCTTGTTACTTGGTCAAAAAATGACTTTCAGGTGGCCAAAACAAAGCCCGCCGGGACTGCAGTTTATTTGGGCAGCCTCCTGCCACACTGCGACACACAGAGCTGGATGTCTGTGATTCAGACTTCACATCAGTAAAGACCAGGACCCCAAGGTCCAGCCGGGGTCATGGACGTACACGTTTCCAAGGTCACAGCAGAGGCCACTGTTCTAGCTCCAGCAAAACCCACGCCGGGGAGCACCAGATTTCTCCTTTTCCCTTTTCTCCTAGAAGATAGGGTCTTTTCTGCCAGATGAAATGCCTTTCTGCAGCCCCCCAGCTCCTGAGGGGGCTCCGTGCAGCACGCTGTGCAAGACGGTGCAGATCTGTCATCACACAGACCTGGGATCCCTGGCCAGCTTGCTGGGAGTCTTGTTTTTATAAATTAATGGAAACAAACAGAAATTTCTCATTTTTCTGTTCTTTAATCAGCCTGGAAACAACCTAGGGGGATCACGGTCCTCAAAAAAGTGGCCCCCATTCAGGTGTCCCATCTGTCACCATGGGCTACAGGAACCCAGGGGCCCCCGGCTGCTCCCTCTGGCTTGCCCCAGCCTGGCGCCCTGCACCAGCTCCACTACTTCATAAGCCCAGCCTCCTCCAGGAAAGGCAAACATGACTTGCAGTCCATGCCCAGCTCCTCCAGGGACTCAGCCGGCGTGTTGTCTTCCAGGAGGTCACCCCAGGGCTTCCATCGCCATCTCTGCACTGATGACCCCCAGTACTTCCCTCCAGGTCCCTCCTGACTCTTACCCAGCTTGCTGTTAGATAGCTCTAGCAGGAAGTCACTCAAACTGCACCCACCCCACCACCGAAGGTCTCAGTGCCTTGGTGGGCCCTCTACCAGGCCCCTGGGAGCCATGCCGAAAGCCCAGGAGTCAACGTGACCCTGCCTCGCCTCCTCTCCCATCCATTCGTCTGCCGTCCTGTGGACCTCAGCTCCGCCCTGTGCACTCTGCTCTATCCCTGCTGCAGTCACCCATCTGCACTAGTCACCTACAGGGGAGCCACCCTGCCTGCTGCGGCCTGAGCTTGCGTCAAGGCCCCCTTGCCATGACATTAGAAACATTGCAACAAAACACAGATCTGCTCAAAGCTCTGTAGGGGCTTCTGCAATCTTAGCTCTCAGACTTAGACCCAGATTAAGCCATGAATTTACGATTCAACCGGAAGCCCCTAACGTGACTCAGAAGATTCTCCTTGAAGAGATACAGGCCTTCTCTGAACACCTCCATGGCCGCCCCTGGACTTGGGCCTGCCACAGTCTATTAGCCTTGCCTGGAGTCAGTTCCTTCTCCACAGCCCAGCCACTCCCCAGCCCCAGGCACACATACCCACCCACCCCCACACTTGGCTACCTAGTCTCAGAGGCCACCTCCCCCAAGAGGTTGGCCCTCCTCAGCCTGAAGTGCTCTGCCCCAGCACCCTCATCAGCCTGTCGCTCACAAGTACTCGTGTGACAGTCTGTCTGTCCACTCAACTGCAGACTCTTTGGACCAGTTCCATGTCTAGTTCATTGTAGAATCTCCCATGCTTTGTGACCTGTCTTTGTGACATGTGAGGGTTAGGGTTCAATTCTCAGAACTGAATATAAATTAATAAAATAAAGGCCCATTGACAACTAAAAAATATTTTTAAAATAGTTATAAACGATTTTTACCATAAAAACACTCTGACAATCTAAAAATCAAGAGTACTCAGTAACTGCTTACAGAATAAGTAGAAGCTGGGTACGGTGGCACACGCCTATAATCCCAGTGGCTTGGGACACTGAGACAGGAAGATCATGAGTTCAAAGCCAGCCTCAGCACCTGCAAGATGCTAAGCAACTCAGTGAGACCCTATCTCTAAATGAATACAAAATAGGGCTGGGGATGTAGGCAAGTGGTCAAGTACCCCTGAGTTCAATCCCTGGTACCAAAAAAAAAAAAAAAATAGAAGACATCCCATCATGGACTTTAATTTTCCTTCTTTATTTCAGTGCATAAACTGAATAAGAAATAATTTTTTAAGTTTTTTTTTAATTGACAAAAAATAATTGTGCATGTTTATTGGGCACAATGGGCTGTTTCAATTATATATGCACAGGAATTCTTAGTGTCATTTGCAATCAGTGGAATACAGCAGAAAGAACTAGGAGAAACGGGTTCTATTCTGGAAAAGCAGGAGACTCGTGTTCCACTCTAGACCTGGAGTGCTCTGGGCAGTAAGAAGTTCAGCTGGTCACCAGATTTTCCACAAGTACACGTCCTAGGCTCCCTTCTAGGGAATTCCAGTGTAGTGGTCTGGAGTAGCACCTAGGAATTGTACTCATGTGACAGTCTGTCCCTGAGGGTCCCTGAGGAGTCTGGCCCTGTCACTTGAGCTGTGCACACAGCAGCTGAGAGAGATCACTAAGTTTGGGGACCCCAAAGGAAGTTTTTTAAGTTTCCCGCTAGTGATAAAATGATGTGTCATGGAGCCCCCAATTAAATGCCAGAACACTAAACTATTTCCCCCATAGGCAACCGAAAGCATTAAAATGCTGGTGACCTTGTGTCAGTCTGACACGGAAGAAATCAGAAATGTGGCCTCAGAAACCCTCTTGTCTCTTGGTGAGTTATTGTTTGTCTTTGTTTTGTTTTACATAATTGCTGGCTTCTGATTTTCTCAAAGGAAGCTAAAAAGAAGAGTTTCATTCGCCCTATTTTAGCAATTTCCCCCACCTGCTGTCTACTGAGACCCATGGAGTATGGGAAAATCAGTATGCACCCCCACACCCAGGCAACCCCTCGCTTTCTCAGGATGCAGAGTGAAGATCATTCTCAGGAGCCAGGCTGTCTTGGTCTGTCAGTCCGCGTCCTGTTTGGGATGAAGAACACAAATGCCAGACCATAAAGCAGAGGCTATAGAAATCCAGGTTGGGTTGCAGTGCAGGGTCAGGGTGGGCAACCACCAAAAGGCAATGATTGACCAAGATACCAGAGGTGCCTCCTACATACCGCGGCCTGGTGCTGGCCCCAGGTCCACCTCAGTTGCCCTCTGGCCCTGACACCAAAGAAAAGAGCTGATGTCTTTATTCTGGATCACCCAGAGAGCCCTGTTCCTTTCCCTTTACTCCACGAGGTTCCTGTTGACCATGTTTCCTAGTTTTATTCTTTTGGGTGGCCCTGAGACGGGGAGAAAGCCTTTCTTAATGCTGCATAAAAATGTATGAATCAGGGGCTGGGGTGATGGCTCAGTGGCAGAAGGTTTGCCTAACACATGTGAGGCACTGGGCTTGATTCTCGGTACTGAATATAAATTAATAAAATAAAGGCCCATTGACAACTAAAAAATATTTTTAAAATAGTTATAAACAATTTTACCATAAAAACACTCTAAAAATCTAAAAGCTATACTCTGAAATTCTCCAAACATAATCCAGTCCCTAAAACCAACTGGAAAAAAAAGAAAAAAGTTGCCCTAGTTTGACTATAGTATGTTAATCATGGGAAGGAGAATCTCGTGTCATTCATAACCACCGTGAAAACCCCATTCACTGTTAGGCCTCTTTCTTACAGTTACAGGGTTAAAAAAAAAAAAAACTCCATTTCGCTATTGGATATATCATTTATTGCTCAGAAAGCTTAGCCAGCATGTTTGTTTAAAGAATAAAATAGTTGCTGGGTGCGGAGGTGCACACCTGTAGTCCTAGCGGCTCAGGAGGCTGAGGCAGGAGGATGGCAAGTTCAAAGCCAGCCTCAGCAAAAACGAGGCACTAAGCAATCCAGTGAGATCCTGTCTCTAAATAAAATACAAAATAGGGATGTGGATGTGGCTTAGTGGTCAAGTGCTCTGGTACCAAATAAAAAACAAGAATAAAATAGTTATTCCTAATGGCTGTTTTAGGTATAGAAAGTATTTAACGCTCTAAAATGTACCTAGGGAGTTATTAGTTTATCCCTTCTGTTCTGAAATAACCGTGAAGGTAAAAAGTAAAAGGTGGAAGTATAAACTGGCCAGCCATGCTGCTCTCCCTCCACCGTGAGCTAAGCAAGGGTCCCTGAGGCCTGTCACCTGAGCTGCACACACACAGCAGCATCTCCAAGAATGACCATCTCTCCTGGTTCCTTCCACTCTTCATGTGCCGCCCACACCAGCCCTGGGCCCTGGCCACCCCAGGTCAGGTCTCAACACTGGCTGTACACCCCCAGGGAAGCCTAACGCACACGGGCCAGGGTCCACCCCAAAGAGTTGCTTCCTTTGGTCCAACATGTGTTTTGCATGGGGGTTTCCAAAAACCTGAGTTTGATCCTCAGCATTGGGGGGGGTGGGGGGGAGCAAGGCAAAACCCCTAACAATCCATCCCTAAATGGTGATATTGATTTTCTTTGAATGACGAGTTAAGTCTCAGTGGTGTTCATGTTCACCGTCCCACCCAGGAGAAGACGGGCGGCTGGCCTACGAACAGCTGGACAAATTTCCGCGAGACGGTGTGAAAGTTGGAGGTCGTCATGGAGCTGAGGTGGCCACGGCCTTTTAGCCACGGGTAACGCTGCCTGGCCACGGTCCCGACTTCTGGCCCCTTCCACCCGGTGTCCAGGACTCGAAGACCTCCTACAATGTGAGGGGAGTCTCAGTCTGGTTTCACAGCCCCTCTGCTCTTCCCTTGGCCACAAAAACAGGGCTGTGCAGAACTCTGATCGCGTCGTCGACCGTGACTGGCAATATCAGGAAGAGTCCGTCTTGTCTTAATAAGTGGGGATTTTAAAACAGCCATCTTTGTACCTTTTTGGAATTTCAATAAGCTTGAAATTGTCATGCGCTATTTCTATAAATACCATCTGCTTTGCAGTTTTTCTCTGTGGTGTTCTCAGGGTTGAGTGGTCCTTTAGCTACCTAATTTTACTTTAAATACAAGCACACAGAAAAAGAATTTCTTCAAACAATGCTTGCCTGAAGAATGTGGCAAAATGACCCATTGTAAGAGTCTAATTTTTATATTTTACTTTTTTAAGCTCTGTGTTTCTTTTGTCCATCCTAAAAATTCCCAAATCGTGTTCTCATTATAATTAAAAGATAACTAAATCACTAAGAACTACCTTAGTAAGATTGTACCCATATGCTCAAAACCCAAAAACTCATTAAGCCTTTTTTATTTGTTTTTTGTTTTTTGGATTTTTTTTTTTTAGTGGGACTGAACCCAGGGCCATTTGGGGTTCATCCCAGAGCTACATCCCCAGCCATTTAATTTTTTTTTATATTGAGACGGATCTCATTGAGTTGCCCGGGCTGGCCTCAAACTTGTGATCCTCCTGCCTCAGCCTCCTAAATTGCTGGGACTACAGGCATACACCACCATGCCAAACAGATTTTTTTTTCCTAACAAGAGCCATTTTTTAAAAATAATACTCTTACCATATAGGTATTTTGCTGCTGAGACAAATCAAAACCAAAAGTCATGGACTCGAAAAGCTGTGATGCTCTTTCAAGGTGGAAGAATGTGGAATCCTTAATGGGTTAGGACCATAGGGACACTAAAAGTCATTCCTGCTTCTGTAAAAATCACGTGAAATTAGGAAGAAGGACTCCCTGAAGGATCGCCAGTGCCCCTAGAAAAGCCAAGCAGCTGCAGTAGCATCAGGCTTCAGGAGCAGGGCAGCAGGCCCCCCGGGGAGTCAGGGCCTTTCAGTCAGGGCCTGTTCCTGAATGACTTTCCTCCCTGTGAAGCGGGACAAGGAGGGGTAGCCAAGGTATCAGAACAATATTGTGAGTGCGATTTAAACTGTGGATGTCAGCAGTATTCTGGACATGCTTGTATGAAATCTCACTTGGATGTCATTTTAAGTATTTACATGTTAGCAAGACTTTTAAAAAGAATTTATTTCCTTTTAAAGTGAAACTTGTTTGCCAGGCTTCGGGCAAAATCGTTCTTTTAACTGTGAAGTTATAATGTACATATTTGTATATTTATAAATATTATGTATGCATATGTCCTCCATTTTAAAGGCTCATTGTACAGTCTGTAGTTAGTATGCATAGTCTATAGTCCACGTTAAATGGTTGAAATGGTTCTTTCTATAGGAAGTCAAGTCTCACATGTTACAGGGTTTCTTTGTTTTGGGTTTTTACATTTTTATTTTTTTGGATATTGCATGAGTAATCAATTCCACATCTTTTGTATCCACTTCTGCATTTTATTTTTGGTTAGGGGGTGCTTTTAGTTTGGTGGCATTTGTATTCATCACCCAATCATGTAAGTTAAAATAAAAGTTATTTTGTAATTACTAGTCTCCGGTCAGTACAGAGTCTGAGATGCTTTCTCACATGCCCTTCCTCAGCTGTATTCACAACACACTGCACCTCATTCTCAACCCTCTTCTTATGTTGCTTTTCTTCACCTATATAAATAGGGAAAGTAACTTGATAAGAATTCTGAGTTGTCCTAAATTGAGTTTTGGCGAATGGAAGGAGGGGAGAGAGGAGAAGACCCTTTTAAATCAGAACTTCAAGCTCAGTCAAGTGCTCCACAACCCTTTCTATTTGCTGAAGGTCAACCTCCAAGGCCACGTTGCATTCTACTCTGGGAACCCACCAACCAGGAAGCAGCAACAACTCCTCTCTGTGGACGAACCTCCTATCCATGACTGCCTGCTTCCCAGGGTCCTGCCCTCCTGTCGGAATAGTCACAGTAGAGTCCGTGTAAATGATTTATGTTACTTCTCCCAAAAATGTTGTTATAAATTACACTGGTCCCTGAGGTCTGGTGGGCGTTTTGCAATTGCTGTCTGACCCTGTTGCAGAGGCTTAGGAATGTGTCCCACTGGTCCAGCCCCTTTGGTTC